AACATTTAAATAATAAAGAAATATTTAAAAATATTATAAAAACAATAAAGAAATTAAAAATGTAATAGCAAAATAAATAAAAAATATAAAGAAATGATAACAAAATAATAGAAAAAGAATAGAAAACAAAAATAAATTAATTAAAAACAAAAATTAATTAAAAAAGTGTTATAAAAATTAATTAATTAAAAAATTAATGAAGAAATATTAAAAATTAATTCACATAAAGTATCAATATTAAAACATTATAAAGCAATTTCAAAAAAAAAGCAAGAAAAATTAATGGAATTGAAAACAAAAATAAATTGAAAATTAAAAAAATGTTATAAAAATTAATTAACATAAAATAACAATTAAAACACTAGAAAGAAATAAAATTAAATTAAATTAAAGAAATTGAAGCCCACAAAAATTAAAGGAATTGAAAATAAAAATTAAAGAAATGTTGTACAAATGAATTAATTAATAAATTAGGGGAGAAATATAAAAAAATTATGGACATCAAATAATAATTAAAACACTATAATAAAAACTAAAAAAAACAAAACAAAGCAAAAAAAATTAAAAGTAAAAAAAATTTAATTATAAACAATATATACATACATATATGATATGAAGAAAAATAAAAATATGAAAAAATATAGATATAGTTAAATTAAAAGGAATAAAAAATAATATAAAATAATAAATAAATATATAAATAATAATAAAAACCAATTATTATGGGGAAAAATAAAAATTTAATAAAAAATTAATAGTGCAATAGAAAATCTAAAATAAATTAAACTAAGAAAAGAAAATTTAAAAAATGTAACTGTACATACATATACAAAGAAATATTAAAAAAGGTTAAATATATTTTATATAAAAATAAAAAGATTAAAATTATAAAGTAAAATGAATAAAAAATTAAAAAAAGGAAAAAAAATTATATAAAATAAAAAAGAAATAAAAAATAGCAAAACAAAATAAAAAAATTTATAAAAATTAAAAAAAGGAAAAAAATTATATAAAATAAAAAAGAAATAAAAAATAGCAAAACAAAATAAAAAAATTTATAAGAAATTAAAAAAAAAAAAAATAATTAAAAGCCAAAAAATAAAATGAAAAAATAATAAAACGGAGATAAAAAAAATAAATGCATTTAAAAAAAATGTAAGTAAAAAATTAAAAGAAAATTAAAAACAAAAAGCAACACGAAAAAAAGTTAAAAATAATCAAAAATAAAACAAATAAAAATTTTAAAATTAAAGATAAAATTAATATATATATATATATATTATTTATTTTTTTAGTTTTTTCATATTTATATATTTTTTCATATCAATATATATACCCAAAATATATATATATTTACAATAATATATTTATAGTTACAAAAAATAGAAAAAAAAATAAATTGAAAAAATATATAAATATAAAAAAACTAAAAAAATAAATAATATTAATCAGAAAACGCAGAAATCAAAATATAATAATAAAAGCAAAATAAAATTAAAGTCAAGTCACTACAGAAACGTCGAGAGTTCAAGAGTCGTCTTATGTAACTGCAAGGGTGTAGAGTTCATGGCAAGGAAGTAAGAATAATCCCATGGGAAAACAATATAAAAAGCAGAATATGTGGAATGTGCACCAGAAACCAGAAATAAAATACAAAAAAAAAAAAAAACAAAACCTTAACGTCGCCTTCAAGGCAAACAAAACGAAAGATCCAAGCAAAAGCTATAAAGTGCTTAAAAATGGGGATAGATGACGGGTTGCATGACTACTAGATGATTGGAGTTGGGATGTTGAAAAACACACACAGACCAAAACACACAAAAACCAAAAAAACAACTAAAACGACGAGCAGCAGCAAACCAACGAATGCTACGGACTATTGAGATTCAACAAGCAAGTCAGTCCAGATAGAAAGAAGAAGAAAAAGCAAGAAACTTTTCGAACGAACTTTAATGTATAAGTAGTAATTGAAGAAGATGGCAAAACGAACGACGGAAACGTAACAAAGCTGATATATAGTATATACCAAATAAATTGCGTAACCAACTAATGTACAATGTGGAGCATTATGTGCTTATAGAACGCAATTATATAGTGTACTATATAGGCGTAGGAGCGAACGAAAAGACCGATGCTGTTTTCGCTTGTTCCTCGTCATCGTCGAAGCATGTATTTGCTTTGTGCTGAGGGTTGGAACTGATTATTGAAAATATCATTTTTATTACGGAGCAAAGTTGATATTTTATCGTTGTCTGTTGTTGCTCTGTAGATTTTTCTTCTGGTATACACACATAGAAGTTGAAGTTCGTATCTAACTTTTCGTTAAATGATAATTATCAGGGAATTCGTAAGGAAAGAAAAAAAGAAATTGAAAATCGGTCGCTATTCCATATTTTGAAGAAAAAAAAAGCAAAAACAACTATTCTGTATACTCGTATAAGCTGTTCCGGCGGGTTCGCACCAGAGGGGAAGGGTATTAGACAAGAGGGTTTTAGTGTGTATACAAAGTGGTGGTGTTAGTATCGAGCGGGGACTTATTGCAAGTTGGGGTCAAATCCCAATACGTAAAAGTTGAATCTACTGCTGTAACTAAGCCTAAATTGTGCAGTATACTTTGGTCTCGCGACGCAAATCCGGCTCTTTGTCTGCTAAAGGCGATTTGAATAATGTTTTTAAAGGTTTGGCAGACCCTCTGTGATTGGAGGTTTCGGCTTGTCGATACATAGTTGCTCTTGTTGTAGCTGTTCTCTTACGTTAGGTGGTCAAGTATTATCTTTCCGATGTGCTCATGTAGGGACTTTCGGGCAAAAAATTAACCGAATTTTATCACGCGAATGGAATGGTAACCACCTTATGCCCACAGGGAAATTAAAACTTTTTTATTACTCTTCATTTACAGATTCAAATTCTTTGGGAAAGTAGTCCGAACACGTATGAAGGAAATGAACAATCCTTTATTGGGAAATTTAATTTTTTTTAAGAAGTTGCCTATAACTCCACGCTTGAATTCAAGAAATTTTGTAGCTAAATCACTTTTATTTGTAAAACTCTGTTAACTAAATTATATTTAACTAATTATACATGAATATAAAGCAGCTTCTTGAGGTTAGGTAGAGCAGTTGAGACGCCCACTCCATAACTTGCAACCTTGATTTCCTAAAGCACTGATTCACCTGGTTCGATGCATGTTTAGAATCATTATCCTACATAAACACCAACCGTAAAGTCATTTTTCCTTTAGCATTCTTAGTTTTTCACGTCGCTTATAATCTTGCAACAATGACACGAAAACTGAAGAAGGAATTTGATTTAAATTAAAGTTTAAATTCTTTTTTTTCATTCAAACAAATATTCACCGATTTTCTACACGCATATGTATATGTATGTATACCCCTCGCATATATTCGTATTGACATATTCGCAGATACGCATGTACATACATACGTTCATTGAACTAACCAAAGTAACACAACACGTAATATTTACTCACTTTTTATTATCAATTCCTCCATTTCAATGGTTGGTGTGAGTATTTGCTCTAGTGGCTCCATTTTTATTCTTTCCGGTGGCAAAATACTGTGTTGATATTGCTGTTGTGACGGCGGTTGTGTGTGTTGTTGTGGCTGTGCTTGCGGTTGTTGTGAATATCCACAACCCCCCACATTTGCTCTTCTACTACTTTCACTAGCTGCCGACATGCCAGACATACCGGCATTGTAGCTGCCGCTGCCGACGGCAACAGAAGAAACATTGACATGTGCGGGAATATAACCACTCCCTCCACCTACACTACTAGCTGCAATATTGCCGCCTACACCAACAACAACTGGTGGTACAGCTGTAGACGCAATATTCGAAACATTCACACCACCTACATGATGGCCACTTATATCAAGGTCATATGCTCTGCCGCCAACAACGCTAGCGCTACTACCAACAAGACTACTGTTCGTTTCATATAAACAACCACCCCTTCCAAGTGTATTGCCGAACATGCTGGGCATTCCGTTACCAGCCCTCATGCCAGAAGCGGCGGCAGCATGTGCATGTGCTGCCGCTGCAGCAGCATATTGTGCATGTTGTTGTTGTTGCTGTTGCTGTTGATGATGTAAATGCTGTTGTTGTTGTTGATATTGTTGCCATTGTCGTTGTTGCTGGTGCTGCTGCTGTTGTTGTTGGTGGTGATGATGTAACAGTTGTTGTTGGTGATGGTGATGCTGTTGCTGTTGTTGCAATTGTAGGTGCTGTTGTTGCTGTAGTTGGTGATGCTGATCAAGTTGTTGTTGTAAATGCTGTTTGTTTTGATTTTGCGACATGGCGTTGTGGTAGTCAAAACACAACACTCACAACGCCGCCGCCGTCGCACGTTTCCAATATATAGCCGGTTTATTTTATTTTTTTTTCCTTTGCCGCACTTTCTGTTTTGTTATTATTTGGTTTGTTTGTTTGCTTTCCACACTTGTTTACGTTATGTATTCGCCACACGCTTTCGCTGCTAATTCGGCTCGTGCTTCTTCGTATTTTTTGTCTCTCACTTGTACACCGTTGTTTGTTTTTTTTTTTTTTTTGACGGCACGTTATATACTTGGAATTTTTTGTATATGTACAAGCGGTTGCCTTTGCTACCTTTTACATGCAATGCAAATTTTCAAACGCATTTTTCATAAATAAATTTGACACTTTTTTGAACAAATTTCATTGCAAACACAAATTAAGCACTTTAACTTGCAAAGGCACATAAAATTTGTTATTATTTTTAAATTTTTCCACTATTTTTCGGCAATTTTAATTTTTTTTCACGAGACGTGCAAATTTTTCCAGCGAACAGCATCAAATTCTTTTCTCTTTTGACGTATGCCAGATTTTGACAGTGGTCAACGAATGTAATTTACACAGAGTTGCCAGCAGTTTTCTGTAAATTACTCATTAGTCGGTACTCGGTGCAAAAGGCAACGAGTTAAACTTAATTTGAATAATTGAAACAAATCAATTCACAATTCACATAAACAGCAGTATATTTCGGAAGTTACAACACTGTTACAACATAAATAAACACAAATATTTTCTTTCACAAAACGAATGCAATCACGAGCAATTAAACATTAAGTACATAATTTTCAATAAAAATTATTAGCGCTGCTGCGAGTCATGCATAAAAAACTTAAGACTGTGACAATACCATTAAAAAAAAAAACAAAAAAAAAAACAATTCATGCATTAAAAATTCAATAGGATTAAACAGAAATAAATAATACATGACACATTTTAAATTTAGTAGACAAGAATTGCTGGAACCAAAATTTTCTAGAAATAAATAACGCAATATAAAATCCATCATACAAAGACTTTAAAAATAAAATCAATTATTTTCCTCCAAATATCGTTTAATACATTCACGATTTTTATAACCAGTGGACCATACATCTTCCGAGTATGCATTTGGCAGTGGTTTACGTTTAGGAACGTTTGACATTACATGTTCGTCCATCAGGGATCCTTTGGATAGCAAATAATTGTGTATTGTAACACATGTAGTGACAATATTAGCAGCCGCCTGGTGGTCATAGGGCAAAATAGTTTTAAGGCAGCTAATTGAAATTGAGAAGAAACATCTGGTTATTCTCAAATTATCCATTAAATAAAATTTGATATTTTACAATACACACCGAAAACGTGACGTTAGCATGACAACAGCTGTATCCAAGCCATTCAGGATTCCGGCTACGACTTCATTAAAATAAAGTTCTGGTGGAGACTTTGGATTCCTATAAGGATTAATGAGAATATCTTCCAATTTGTAGCCGCGATCCGCTATAAAATTGTTGTAAAATAAAAAAGCTCAAATTAAAATTTTTATTATCATTTACCTATTAGCCATGCTGGATCTTTTGAAAATAAGGATTTCATGATTCCACGTATGTGACTACGTCTCCAAACAAAAATATCACTAGATCCGCCCGGCGCACGAGGGTTTACATTCAAAAAACGGTGTTCATGATCGCAGATCTGTCATAACGATACATATTTTAGAATAATAACCAGAAAAATTAAGAATTTTTTTTACCACTTGAACATTTATAGATAAATTTCCATGCCTGCACTGGAAAGTTTTTTGTCTTCTTTCAGCTACATTAGCAATACGCACATGAAAACAATCCATAACTCCGACTACATGTGGTATACCATATTTTGTCCTAAAACCATTCTTAATATCTATTGTTTCATCATTGTTTGATGGGAAACTGTAAATGATGTAATTTATATAATAACTTTCAACGGATTTTAAATGACTCACCTAACAAAATCTGTTGCCATAAAATGTACAATTTTTTGACACACTTGTGGCACACAAAATAGAAGCATATTCTGTGTCAGGCCCCTAAAAGCCGCTAGTGGTTTGAGAGCTTCAAAATGACCATGTGCCAAATAGGAAAGCGTCGCTAATACGCGCAAATCAAATGGTATACGATTGGTATCAGTCTCTGGTCGATAATAAGTTCGGAGGCAAAGAATAAGTAAGAAATCCTGATAAAGCCATCTGTCAAGTCGGAATACATATTTGAAGCTAATTTTTATGAAAATAAATTAATTTTAACTCTTTCGTTATAGTTTAAAATCTTACTATTCTTCCGAAATTTCTAAAGGATTGGGTATTCTACGCAGTTCTTTACGTCGCACAAATTTTACAACATCCTTTGCAAATATTACTTGTTTATTTGCTGTGGTAAAACGACCTTCCTCATTGTCATATTGCTTGCCCTGCAAGTAGTCTGTAGAAAGCCCAGTGAAAAGGCATGTAGCTAAATTTAAATCCATTTATCGTTCTAATTATTCACTCATTTAAACGAAAACTTTAATGTTAATTGGATTAATTGTGAAATATAAAACAAAATCAAAAATAAATTCATATAACCGAAACTAACGGCACTTTTCGAAATAGAGTTCATGACGTTGCCAGTGCTGGGAAATATTTTTATCTTGACAGAGATGTTAATAAACTGACAATTTTGGCAAAAGGATTTTGTGATTTTCTTTAATTTGAACGACTCATTACACTTAATACAAGCTAAAACAATATTCGTTTATGATAACTCTATACTAAGAAAAATGTATTACATTGACATTGAATTTGCGCTACGTTATTTTCGGTCCACGCTCGCCAACTTTTATTTTTAATTGCTCGCGCAACTCCAGTGCGTTAGTTACATATTTTTCTTCCGCAAAGCTATCAAGCACATTCCGCAATTCATCCTTCACAACATCAATTCGCTTTTCATTTTTTGCCGATATTGGTATGATACGCTCAAACTTTATTAATTTGCTTGGCCTAAGATCCTCGGGGCACATTTCCAAACCACTCTCTAAATTCTTTATGGTTGGTTTTAAACTTTTCAGTATATCTGATGCACCTTTCAAATCTATTTTATTTAGTAGCAACACGCATGGCTTATCTAAAAGCGTTTCATCGTACATTTCCAATTCTTTATTCAGCGCATATATATTCTCCAAACAATTACGCTTCGCGTGCTGTGCGCTTAATCGGAAACCGAAAATATCGACCATAAGAAGTAGGAGACGAGTGCGTTCGACATGTTTAAGAAATTTGTGCCCCATGCCAACATTTGCATGCGCACCCTCAATCAATCCAGGTAGGTCGGCTATGCTGATTTGTCTTAAATCTGTATAATCCACTATGCCTATTTGTGGGCGGATAGTGGTGACTGTAAAATAATAAAGATACATTTATCAAGGGAGGAAGAAGTCGTGAAACGTAAAGTAAAACTTACATGGATACGAAGCTATTTTTGGTTTCGCATTTGAAATCGCTTTCAATAAGGTACTTTTACCTGCATTTGGGAAACCAACTAGACCCACATCAGCAATTAATTTTAAATCTAGAGTCACGGTGCGGTGATCGCCAGGCTTGCCTAAAAAGTTGTTGCCTGTACAACCGCCTGCTCCACCACCGGCCGCTATGCATGTCGCGCTATCATCATTTAAATCGCCTAACATCTTTCCGCTTTCATCCAAAACTTGTACACCCAGCGGTACTTCAACGCGTTCGTCTAATCCGCGTTTTCCAAGTATACGTACTTTACTGCTATCCTCTCCGCTAGAAGCTGCTATGCGCTTGGTTTTATACTTTTGTGCTACATTACGCAAACTTATATTTTCTTTAGCGACGAAGTACACACAGCCGCCTTGTCCACCAATTCCGCCATATTTCGGAGTGCCATTACCGCCGTGACCACCACGCACTGTCAAACGCAGACTGTCCATGAAGGCATTACGTAGATGCGGTCGGACAATCTGTAAATCATCCATTTCATAATTGTATATACATATACTTCCATGTGAAGATTTACCTTCTTTTCAGCTTTAAGTAAACATTTAAATAGTTGCACCATTTTTACTGATTTTTACTCTTTTATTTTATTTCATGCCGTGAGGAACTAACCGGTTAAAAAAGATTTTTATTGCTTGCAAAACAAAAAACAGCTGTGCGTTGATAACAGACAGCAGAGATTTTATAGTGTTGCCATACCGGTTAATCACGGAATTACATTTGAGAGGAAAATTCTTCTAAAATTTGTAATAAATTAAAGAAATAACTTTCAAATTAATTGAATTATAGCCAAAGTTAGCATAAGAACAAATATTTTATCAGAATATCTAGAATTATTTTCCAAATGAAAATATTTCTTGCAGAATTACAAGTCTGGCCATTTCGACGGCTGCATTCTAATTGTTCTAAACGCCAACACGTGCTACTGCTTGTTTAATGCATTATTTACCTTGGTTTGGTGCAATATTTCGAAGAGCGTATATATAAATAAACAAATAAATGGAGCCTGGAATTTGCTATATCAAAGAAGAGTGAGTATTAGTACAACAAAAAGCAAACGAATACTTAATACTTAACAAATGACCTCCAAAGGTATCTGGTGCCGGAGAATAGAAAGCCAACAATATCGGCGGAATCTGCTGAGCAGGACAACAAAAGAAAATCAGCTGAACAAAATGATAATGAAGTGGGAAAAGCACAAAAATATCAAAAGACAAGTAAAAAGGAACGTAAGCGTGGTCAAAATAAAGTAAGCATAGTAAATATATGACTCCTTCGTCATTTTCGTTCATAAGCGAAGAATACTGTTTATAATTGCAAATAAACGCAAACACGTTCTACTATATTTCATTTTATATTAGAACCGTCCAGTATTCAAGCAGGACAGCGCGTTATCTTTATGTCACTCCTTAATGAATGGTCCGGATTTGGAAAAATGCCCACACCCAAATTGCCGATATGTGCATGACTTAACTGCATACTTGGCATCTAAGCCCGAAGATTTGGCTGAAAAATGTCCAGTTTTTGATGCTTTAGGATATTGTGCACGCGGAGTGACTTGTCGCTTTGCTAAAGCACATCTAGATGCGGACGGGCGTAATATTAAGTCCTCGGATTATGACGAAAATAAAGCGCGCACAAGTGTTAATGGCATAACAAGTGGTGAGGCTTTGAAAAGTGTAGAAAAATTAACTTTCTTTAAACTAATATACTTTTACAGAACTTCAAGTTCGTCTGCGTAAACGTGAGTACGATTTTACACTGTGCAAAGAATTAGTTAATAAAGCGGATAAATTGCGCGATGAACGAAAAAAGAAATTAGATAATGGCGCGGATAAACCGGAAGATGAGAGCAATACAACTGACACTAAAGATGCTGCTGAAGAAACGGCAGTTTTGAAGATACATATTGCCACTGACAAACCGCTTGGTGCAGTCGTCGATGACGCAGATACGGCCGGACGTGATGCGGCACGAAAACCACCTGTTGATTTCACAGAAAAACTCATACTCTCCCCATTAACTACCGTAGGAAATTTACCATTTCGGCGTATCTGCAAGGAATTCGGCGCTGATATAACATGTGGTGAAATGGCTTGTGCTGTACCCATTGTCAAAGGACTGACACAAGAATGGGCGCTTACAAAGCGACACATAAGCGAAGATGTATTCGGCGTACAAATTTGTGGTAATAATCCAAATATTATAGCACAAGCTGCACAATTACTTCAAGAAACAACTAGTATTGACTATATTGATCTCAATATTGGTTGCCCAATTGAGCTAATCTACCAGCATGGTGGTGGTAGTGCGCTTATGCGGCGCACTAACATACTTGAAACAATTGTACGCTCCTGTTCAACGCTATCATCTCAAATACCATTCACGGTAAAGATGCGTACAGGCGTTTATGCGGATAAAAGTGTGGCACACGAACTGTTGCCATTGGTGGAGGAGTGGGGTGCAGCGGCAGTGACGGTATGTATACTGACATTGTAATGTGTATAATATAATATATAATTAATTATTGAAATGCATTTTCAGTTACATGGGCGCTCGCGTGAGCAACGTTATACCAAAAGCGCCAATTGGCAGTACATTGAAGAATGTGCGGCGAAAGCAAAGCATATGCCGGTTATAGGTAATGGTGATATTTTAAATTTCGAGGACTACAACGAGAAAAGGGTAAGTACACATAAATACTTAATTATAAACATAAATTCATTATTTAATCTAACGCTAGAAAATGGCGCCACATGTTTCCTCCGTTATGATTGGACGCGGTGCTTTAATCAAACCGTGGATTTTCAAAGAAATCAAAGAACAAAAACCATGGAACCCAAATTCCAGCGAACGCTTTGAACTTCTACGCAAATATGTCAACTATGGCTTAGAGCACTGGGGCTCTGATACAAAAGGTGTAGAGAATACACGTCGTTTTCTACTGGAATGGCAATCATTTCTATACCGTTATATACCATATGAACTTTTGGCCCAACCACCGCAGCAAATCAATCAACGACCGCAAAAGTTTCGTTGTCGTGATGAAATGGAAACGCTTATGAGCTCACCCAATTCCGCGGATTGGGTGCGTTTAAGTGAAATGCTTTTGGGACCAGTACCTGTTGGTTTTGAATTTGTGCCAAAGCATAAAGCTAATGCATACTAGATATTAAGTATTTAAATGCGTGTGCATGATAAATATTAGGCAAGCAAATTTTCTTACATACATACATAGATATATACATATGTATATAGATAACATTGTTTTTGTGTATTATTAAGCGTTGATATTTATATTTCTAAAAATATAGAGGTACTTACAAATATATGTATAAAGAGATGTTAAAAAATAATTAACTTTGTGGGTAACTTATTTGACTATTGAAAACTAGACATCGATTAAATAATGAAAAGTAAGAGTTAAAAATTTTTAAGTTTTTTTTTAGCGAATTTATTATAAAAATTATAATTAATTAAGCCTTTAAAAAGGCAACATAAAAAAAGTGAGGATATGAAATTGTGCATACAAAAATTATGCTGAAGCGCCTGAAGGTATGCAACGAATACTGAAAAATGCTTGTCGGTTACTGAAAATAATTTTTTTTTCATTAATATTTATATATGTCAGTATGTGTGTTTTATTATTATTTAAAATTTTTAATTCAAATATAAAATCCTTCAAATTATTAATTCAGGTTTATTATGATTGCGAAAAGGCTTTGCTAATATTATAGCAACAATTATATGAGTTCGAAATAGTAATATGTATGTATATTATTGATTTTGAGTTGACTATTTGTTGTAAAAATTAACTTAGAAATACGAGATTTTTGTATAAATTTATTTTTATTAACAGTCATTTAAGTCTTTTCATAATATGCCTTATTCTATATTCTTGTTTCATCATATTTTTATATTTTTTCACATTCTAGTTTTTTTTCTTTTTAACTTAATCAGTTTTTAATGGCCGCCACTTAGTCAGTATAATAAGTTCCACATGAAAACACGCCTCTTTTCTTCAATCAATCTCTACTCCTGCTTCGCTTGCACATAACTCAACGCCTCCTCAACATCCTTCTTCGAGCCCAGAAAGATGGGACTACGTTCGTGTATTTTCTTCGGCACAATATCCAAAATATCAATACGTCCATCACTGGCCAAACCACCTGCTTGTGTCATCAAAAAAGCCATTGGATTGCATTCGTACATTAAACGCAATTTGCCACTGGGCGCCGATTTCGTAGCCGGGTAAATGAAAATACCACCATATTTAATCGTACGATGCACATCGGCCACCATAGAACCAACATAACGTGCACCATATGGTTTACCCTTCGCAGGATCCTTTTTCGCCGCAATATAATTGTAAACTCCTGCATCCCAATCGGAAGCATAACCTTCATTAATCGAATAGATTTTACCCTTCTCTGGTACGCTCATATTTGGATCGGTTAATATAAATTCACCTATGGCGGGATCATAAGTGAAACCATTTACACCGGCACCTAAACTCAAGACCACTGCAGTCGCTGAGCCGTAGAGCGCATAACCAGCAGCAACAATTTTATTACCCGGCTGCAGCGAATCATCGAGAGTGGGTGCACCTTCGCTTGTTTGCCGGCGATAAATGGAGAAAATCGAACCGATTGAGACCAAGCAATCTATATTCGAAGAACCGTCGAGTGGATCGAAACAAACTACATATTTGCCCTATTGTGTTAAGGTAAAGTGTAAATTTAGAGCCTTTTCATAGTTTTTTATATCAACAGCTTACCTGTCGCTCCACCTCCACTTCAATGATATTCTCATTTTCCTCGGACACCATCAGGCAAGTGGTGTACGAGGACTTTAACATATTGATAAAAAGTTCATTAGCGAGTACATCCAGCTTTTTCACCTCCTCACCCTGTACATTAATATCGCCAGCAATGCCATGCAGCTTGGCTATGCCTGCCTTACGCACTGCCGAGGCAATCGCCTTGATCGCTGTCTGTATACAGTTAAGCAATTGTGAGAGGTCACCTGTGGCATGTTTGAATTTCCTTTGCTCTTGCAGCACAAAGCGCGTCAATGTCATGGCGTTGGTATCAAACACTTGACCACTTTCCATGTTTTCTATGGTAGGAAAAAAGTGGATAAAAGAAAAGCTATATATTGGATTTTTACATATTCAAAAACAGCAGTAATTTAACTACATCGGTGTGGTAAGTAGAAAAAAAATATATATACAAATTTTTTTTATTTAGTTAATGATGTATTTTTAAAATTTAGGAAAGCGAAATGAATTTAAAAACAAATAATTCGGAAGTGGAATACAGAAAAGCATAAATCTCTATAATTAAGCACAAATGGGGAAAAAGGTAGGGCACAAGGTTTCAAGCGTAGTTAGTGTAATAAAATTTATAGAAGACGAGGAAATCAAACAAATTAGGAATTTACACATATCTTAGGGTCTAAAAAAAACTTTGAAATTATATATACATGCCAACGAAATGATAATATATGTAGGATTCAAAGGCTTTATTTACAAAGGATATTTGGATGCAACAGTTTAGCGTTGGTTTAAAGCATAAAACAGCAACAATTTAGGTAAATAGATATTTTAAACTCTGCTGTACTTACTCTTAGGCGCTGCCATTTTGACAATTATTAACCTGATATTAGAAATATAATTAAAAAATAAGATATTATTATATTGTCAACTAAATTTGGCACAAAAAAAATCGTAAACATTTTAAAGGGTTTTTTTGAATGGCCTGCTATTTCGGTAGATGTCAGTAATAAAATTTTTGTCTTTAACATTTCGATTCTATGATTAGAACAACAAAATACAAAGGTTTTTTGTTTTTGTATTAATGCACATACCATGTGTGAATTGGCCTTGATAAGAAGTCTACACAAGAAGACACTTTTCACACTCACTTAATATTTTTATGCCATTGGAACTATAGCGAAATAATAAATAATAACTAAAAAGTATATATATATATAAAAACATTATCCGAAATTCATTAAAAATACAATCAACAATTTGTTTTAAAAAATCATAATTAAAAATAATTTATTTAATGTCATTCACTTAAATGAAGAGAAAAAGACTCGTGTTGTCACTGATAATACGTTTGTCATTGACAAGGTGGGAGTGTGTACTCATTAAATTTTTGTTGTTTATTTTCACTCAATTTTTTTATCAGGCAACGTCAAGATACTTCGTGTATGCTCACATGGAGCTAAAAAACCGAAATAGAATAAACAAATTCTTGGCCGTGTATTATCTAATTTAGAGGTGAAAATTGTTTACGTCGGTTTTGTTTAGGTGTAAAGTTTGTATTTGCTTTAAACAATAGACTCCCAAATGATAAGTATGTAGTACCATTTTTTTTTACAGCACAGGAGGTTGCTTTTCCCTACCGGTTTCATAAAAATTGGGAATCAATATTCCGGCACTTAACATTTAATGAGAGTTTGGAAAGGAAATTTCTCTAGAAATCATCAGCAAGTTGTGATAATGGCAAGTGCTGACTTCTTCTGTTCTGTATATACCTGTATTAGAGATTTAGTTATGAATTGCTCATGATTTGATGACATAAGCAAATTTAATTTTTTTTAATTTTATTTTTATTTTTTTAATTTTTTTTTTAAATTTTTTTTTAATTTTATTTTGCTTAAATTTTTTTTTGTACTTTATTTTTTTGAATTTCATTTTTTTTTAATTCAATTTTTTATTATTTTTTTTTGTTTAATTTTTTATTTTAATTTTTTTTATTTGATTTTTTTTATTTAATTTTTTTATTTAATTTTTTTTATTTAATTTTTTTTTATTTAATTTTTTATGTATTATTTTTTTTAAATTTATTTTTTATTTTATTTTTTTTTTTATTTCTTAAACTCTTATATATGTATGTATTATAGGCGCTTTGTAACTGCTGAAGCGATTTACGGCTGAGCTTCTCCTCCAATGTGCCGAACGGCTGGGGGTTTTTTATGCGAAACCTTCATTTGATGGCACAAATACAGGAGGGGTTGACACTCACTTTTAACATATTTAATTTAATTTATTGTGCTTTAATTTATTTAATTTGAATTTTTCTTACCATATTTTATTAATTATATAGCGTTTTAATTTAATTCCTTCTAGTTTTTTATATTTTTGTTAAGCTTAATTTATATTGCCTTTTAATTTTTTTAAATTTGATTTTTAATTTGAATCATTTTTATTTTATTTTTGGTGTTTTAATTTATTCTATTCTGATTTAAATGATTTTAATTAATTATTTCTTTATATGTACTATATATATATATATATATATATATTATATTTTAATTTTTTCATATTTAAAGTTATTTCCTTTTTGTTTATTGATTTAATTAATCAGGTTTTCAATCTAATATATTTAAGTTTATACTTTACTTTATTTAGCATTTAATTTTGTTTGGTTTAATTTATTATTTAATTTAATTTTCTAAATTTATTTTTACTTTATTTTAACTTACTAATGTTTGCTTTTAGGTGTATATTTTATTATTATTTGTGTAATATAACTAATTTTAGCTTGTTGTTTTGTCCTCTTTTATATATTTCATTTAATTAAATTTTTTAATTTAACTTGCTTTACTTTATTTTTTTATTTTATTTTATTTTATTTTATTTTATTTTATTTTATTTTATTTTATTTTTTTTTATTTTATTTTATTTTATTTTTATTTTATTTTATTTTATTTTATTTTTATTTTATTTTATTTTATTTTATTTTTATTTTATTTTATTTTATTTTATTTTATTTTATTTTAATTGAATTTTATTAATTTTGATGTATTTAAGCTATTAATTAACTTCGTTTCATTATTATCCAAGTAACAAATAATTTCTTGCTGTCAAGTTCTTTGAGTGCCTCTTCACATTTTTCGCAGAGACATTTCTTTGCAAGAATCTTAACGCGTGCCCAATAAATGATCAACAAATGAATGAAAGAAAAATGACTTTCACTTTTCCTTTTCATATCTTTGCACGACATTGTCACAAGAGCAATGAATATGCAAATACATTATATACATACATATGTATGTATGAATGCATGCTCTAATGCAACAGCTCTCGCACTAAACTGATGTAAGAGTTCACTGTACTTTTCCCCCTTGAAGTTACACACTCTGTTGTCAGTTTACCGGCTTAAATTGTTTATTTTTTATTTAATATTATTTTATTTTTGCCATTGTTACTTACACTAGTTATATTTGAAAAATGTTTGCTAAAAAAAAAATGTATATTATATTTTCTCTTGGCAAGAGCTTCCACTTTGCTTATCCCAACCAACCAAATCAAGACCAACTCGCACGAATTGAATTTCGAGACTGAAACGTTTGAATGCCGAAAACGAAGTGTGTGGAACAATCGACGCGAAATGGTATAAATATAAATATTAAGTTGTGTACGCATACGTATATACATGGATGTGTACATAAGTAAGTTGCGCTATCTTGTATGGGCGTGTGCATACTAGTTTTATACACACTAACATACATACATATAAATGTATACTATATATATACATAATTATGGTTTGTTGTTGATGTATTTTTTGGCTTTTGCTTGCGATAACTTGTTGAGCCTCACACTGTGATTCCTGCTGCCACCGACCGCAGACAACAAATACGAGTAAAATAATTTATATATAAATAAAAACAAGCTGATAATGATACATAATGATAAACACATACAAATATACAAGTACACCTGCACATATATACATCATATTATTGCTAGCAATAAGTTAAAAGAGAACAACGTTTTGAGACTGTTTTAATCTATAACTATTTTCCGTCTAGTTATTTTCGAAGTAGTACTAGGACTACTATGCTTAGGGCATAGTGATAACTTTTCTAAAATTACCACACTTCAATTCAGTTTCTACATATATATATGTATATACCACAAGTCTGCGGTGTGAATATTGGCTAATAAGCCTTTGAAGAAGCTCTGGACTTTATCAAAAACGTAATAAACGAGTTTAGCACGGAAAAAATTCGATCGAAAAAATAGAAAAGGGTTTATAGCAAGTGTGAATTTGTTGCGGTTATAGTGACCAGTCTTTTTTGACTGTCACAATCAGTTGTCCAGCTATCAAGTAGGTAATGATACACCACTGAGTACTCATTGCTTGGAGTAGTTATTGTGAGTATTTGCTGGAGATATTATTAGGATAGAGGAAAAGACCAAGTGTAGAAGTGCACGCAAGTGGGATCATGTTGTTAACTGTCATTCACCTGGGAGGAGTCACTAGCAGAGTTAAGCAGCTCACAGCTAATGGTTATAGACCAAGAAGAAATTTTCTGGATAGCCAACAAGCATCCATTGATCTACCACAATCAAGATCTACCTCAAAAAAAAAAAAAAAAAAAAAAAAATACCACAACACCGTCAGATAATAGACCCCATGAACGACCACTTTAAACGTTTTTAGTATCCAGATTTGAGAGCATGCGCCTGATTTGTGCGATGTCTCAAGGAAGAAGTTGTTACTGACCAAATACTCAATGTGAGGCTAAATCACACCGAACAGAACAAGACTGGAAGAAAATACATATGTATGTCTATTGAGCATTTAATACAGTATCTCGGACTTCAAGTCAAGTTGCTGAATCTTTTTTGGCGCACAGATTACGAGTATGTCGCCCAGTATGATGGTTCACCTCGATAGCCAAACGTCTTGCCACAATCTGCATTAAAGCAAGTTAGTTCAAGAGCGCGCAGCGCCGACGGAGGAGATCACGTCATGACAACAAAATCGTGCTTGGCGACTTGAAGGCGCTGTGTGTGGCAAAACAAGAATGTAGCTTTGGAACAACGAGGCTAAGATTAATATGTTTTGGTGAGGATCGATATATGAAAACCTTTAATATCAGATTCCAGAGTCAGAAATCCTTCACTTGACTTGGTTATACCCGAATCGAAAGGATCTAACTAAAGCAGACTGTGTCATAAGATTTAACGAACGAAGTCAACGAACTAATCTGGTGGATTCATCATACACTAGATGTTCATCATGTACCAAACAATAGACACAGCCTGTTTTATTGTTGTAACCGCCAAAAATATTCCCTAAAGTACTTTTAGGGAAATGTTGCGGATAAAAGTCCTGGTCGTTCCGGTATAAAGACCCGACTGTTGCGGGATTTTAGTCGCCTCTTACGATAGACATGCCTTACCGCGTGTAAATTGTTGAACCCCCCAACGGCAGGTGGTGGACACAGCCTGTAATTTCCTTTGATGACCCTCAAAGGGGCAGTTACAACATCTGAATTTGATAAACCCATTAAACTTATTAATATTCTAGTATACTGTACTGACTTTAAGTCATCTCCCAAGGGCTGATGGAGAAATACATACGGAGGAGTTGAGTCCGACACTTTAGTCCATAATTAATTCGATCTTATAACCAGACACAGATTTTTATCCGGCCAAGAACTGTCACTATCGTAATATTTGTCAAAATTACTTAGCGGAATATTTTTGCGGCTACAGCAATAACAATAAAAACAATCGGAATTGAGAGATAGATAGATTTTGAGCAAGATAATGGAAAGTTGAGCTCTACCGAGATCTACCACGACATAACTCAATTTTAGCGAATACAGAGACTGCAGCTACACACTGGCCTGGTAATGTTGTCCGGATGAATGAAAATACTCCAGCTATGCCAGATTTCGCAACCGCGCCGTAACCGTTAATAGAAACAATGGAAGAGAAAGATCTCAAATTCTATTAGGTACAAGATGACAAGTGCGTTACCCGGAATCTCATCGTACATGCAATCTTACTTCGTACTAAATACACGTACACAGTCCTTAAGTATTTACAATGGTTGAGAGCTTTACGAGTATTTGAAAATAACAGTGTTTTGTAAACATTCAAGCACACATATGTACATACAAATGATAGATCAGTTATTAGTATTTGTGGAAAATACATACATATTTACATATTTATTTACGCTTGAAATAATAATACCATTAATAAGCAAAATATTTTTTCTTGTTGTCTCTTCTCACTTTTTGTAGGCCAATTCTTATCACTGAAAGGTCCAGAGGAATTTCGAACTCAAGGCAATTCAAATACGTATGTATATAATCTATAAAATTTTGTAAATAATATAGGTGTGTGTATCTGCGCTAAGGAGCCGGTTCAGGCCGAATAAAAACGATTTTAGAAACGTGTTAACGACAATGGCGACAGGAAAAAAAATTGTATATAATATTTATATTTACATTTATATATTATATAATATATATTATATATTACATATTATGTATTATATATTATAAATTATATATTATATATTATATATTATATATTATATATTATATATTATATATTATATATTATATATTATGTATTATATATTATATATTATATATTATGTATTATATATTATTTATTATATATTTTATATTTTATATTATGCATATTATATTATATAATATATAGTATATAATATATAGTGTATAATATATATTATATAATGTATAATAAATAAGATATAATATATAATACATAATATATACTATACATTTTTTCAGAGCACACACACACATCTCACGTACCAATTAATTTATTTAAAAAAAATAAATATGTACGTATACATTTAGATATATGTATTCATACACGTATGTATTGTACTTATGCAAAACAGATATATTAATTTATTTACTTATACATATGTACAGATGTGTGTACTTTTTATGGCTTTCGCGTGGCCTACCGTATAGTTGTTTGGGGGCTCGTCAATGCACAAACACATTCGAATATACCTGTGGGCACACAACCCTGCAGGAAAGAATACTAGTTATTAACTAAAATCCAACTAGTATATATTTCTACACCAACTAGCTTCTCTTCCTGCTTCCGATGCCCTACGAACTTCATACTAGTTAAATACCAATTCACATATGCCAGTTGAAATACTTAGACCAGTCTACATAGGACTAGTAAAAAAAATCGAACTATGTACAATATTTGTAGCTCGGACTGCTGATTATTTGACACTCTTCTTCTTCTTCTGCTGCTTTACTGGCGCAGACACCGCTTACGCGATTTTGGCCGATTTGACAACATTCGAAATACCAAGTACAGCCAGGTCTATCCGTTACTGGTCTTTCCAACGCAGTGGAGGTCTTCCTCTTCCTCTGCTTCCACCGGCAGGTACTGCATAGAAAACTTTCAATTTCAAAGCTGGAGTATTCGCGTCCATCCGGACCACATGACCTAGGCAGCGTAGCCGCTGCTTCTTCGTTCGCTGAACTGTATCAATGTCGTCGTATAACTTGTACAGCTCATCGTTCCATCATCTGCGATATTCGCCGTTGCCAATGCGCAAAGGACCATGAATTCCGCACCATTTAGCAGGATGGGAACGATGAGGGACTTGTAGAGTTTGGTCTTTGTTCCTCGTGAGAGGACTCTGTTATTCAATTGTCTGCTCAGTCCAAAGTAGCACCTGTTGGCAAGAGTGATTCTGCGTTGGATTTCAAGGCTGACATTGTTGTAGGTTTTGGCGCTGGTTCCTAGGTAGACGAAATTATCTACGACTTCAAAATTATGACTATCAACAGTGACGGGGGCGCCAAGTCGCGAATGCGATGACTGTTTGTTTGATGACAGGAGATATTTCGTCTTGTCCTCGTTCAGTACCAGATTCATTCGCCTCGCTTCCTTATCAAGCATGGAGGAAGCAGAACTAACGGCGCGGTTGTTGCGGCCGATAATGTTAATATCATTCATCAATTTGATACAATTGAACAAAATATAAAAAAAATTACAATAATGTGGTTGTTGTTGTTGTTGATGTTGTTGTTGACCCGAGTCCCATAATGTGTGGTCGAAGCTTGTGGTTGCTTAGCAGTTTTGCGTTTTTTTTTTTGCAAAACGATAAACTGGTATAAATGTGTCTATAAAATACTAGTTCATATGCTAGAATTTTGGCAAAATAAACCAGATTTTACCGAATAATACTGGTATTATTCTAATTTATGACAAAGTAGTTTACTTTTGTTCTTTAAATACTAGTAAGTTTCTGGTTTACAACTAACTAGTATAATTTCGCCTACAAAATACCAGTATTTAACTAGAATTTTCGCATACTAGTCTATCTTTTTCCTGCAGGGAATGTACGAAAGTGTGTTTGAATTTCCAGTTTGCTTGCTTTCAACACTCGTCTCCTATATTTTTATCAATTTCTAAACACACAATGGGCCAGATGTATTAGTTTTTTTTATAAATCAGCTTTTTTTGGCGATTTATATTTAATATTCTTCAGCGAATGTTTTTGTATAATTTTTTTCTTAATTTTTTTTATTTTTTGTTTTGTTTTTTATCCGCTGGAAACAAGTTCTGTAT